TTCGGACTCCTATGCCTAATCCTTATTTCTGCCAAATTTGGGCTAGATTGCATGCGTATTAAATACGCATTAAATGCGTTAAAAATAAGAAAACTACTAATCATGTCTTACTAAATTGGCTGTCTTAAAAATACTCAAAATATTGCTTTTGAGAAGTGTGTTGTTTTGTTAATTTGTTATTGGCCAAAAAAAAAAAAAAAAAACCATCTGATGGAGACTTGCTGATCAAGGAGGCTTTTCTGCTAGGCTTGCATAAATCACTTCAGTTGGACAAAAAATGGATTCCGCTTCATTTGATCATTGAGTTGAGTGACAGTGAAAAAAGCCCATAAGTGTACACTTTAGTTTTGTAGTTTATTCTTTGACAATCATCAGTAAAATGAATTTCATTTTTTTCACTGCAACTGATTCTTTTAGGGAATACTTGCTTTCCAAATAATGGAGCACATACTTTAAGAATTATGTTGTGTTGCAACAATGCCTATATCTAGTTGTTGCTTATCTTATTGTGCTTTTCCATATATGCTTGGAAGTGTATGTGCTATGTACCTTAAAATGCTATCCAGAAAACATCTTAGAAAACCGTGACCATAGAGGACTGCCAAGAATACCTGTCCTGAATTTAATATTTCATGGAGGTTTGGGGAAGGAAAAGAAAGCATAGAAGGAATTATAAGAAAGCTGCAAGAAAACTGATCTTGCATTGATGATTCAAGGGAAAAAAATCCCATATGACATGTTGACTTAAGATATGATGCTCATATCTGTGTAGCAGTGAGGATGGGATGATGAGTGGGGAGGGAGCGTTAGTTTGCCAATTACCTGGTATACTGTAGAGAAACCACGGTTGCATTCGTGCTGTTTATTTATTTAAACAAGCAATAGAGACAGAAAGAAAGAGAGAGAAAGGGAGAGATCTTCCAAATGGTAATTCACTCCCCAAAATGCCTGTTAAAGCCAGGTCTGGATCAGGTGAAAGCCAGGGACCACAAACTTAGTGGGTCTCCCATTAGCGGCAGGATTAAAGTACTAAAATCATCTTTGTGTTCACTTCATCAGCATGTTAGTAAGCAGCTAGCTAGATCAGAAGTGGAGTAGCTATACTCTGATATGGGATGTCAGTGCCCCATATTTATTTAGCAGAGTTTGCCTTCAGGTACCACTATTCTGGCCTCAGGTAATATTAAAATTATTTTCCTGGAATATAATAAAACTTTAACTTTTAATGTGATTTCTGAGATTTGGATGTAAGACCTTTTTTTTATCTCAAGAAAACATTCTTAATACCTTAAATTAGTTTTAGCTATTTTTTGATATTTCTAAATAATATGATATATTGTATTAAATCCCAGTATAAACATTATTAACTTCCAGCTGTACAAAAATGAGAAGCTATACCTTGAAACTATTTAGCCAAGCCTCCCTAACTCTACCCAGCACAACCCTATGCTGTAAAATACCTGTTTTCTAAATTTTCCCTAATTCAGAATTAATTATTACTTATTGTATAAAAATTTTCACAGCTTAATCAATTAGTGTGCAATGATTATATTTCCATTCTTGTAAAACTGTTGTTCCGCATTTGATCGTTGATTTTCTTGGTCTTCTATATAATATACTAATTCTTTCATCTTAATTTGTGCTACTTTACCACAAAATTCCTCTCTGTAGATTAACATATATCCATATAATCTATATATGACTTTGTTCCTTAGAGATATCACTCATAGAGAATGCTAGAATTTATGCAAAACGATCACCCACTAAATCTACTACCCAAATCCAGCAATTCTGGCCCCTGATCATTTGTGTTGAATTCTTAGCTTCCTTGTTGTCATGGCTTTCTCAATTCAATCAGTCTCTCATTCTTTCATTTGAAAGGAATTATGTCTCCAACAATTTAAAAGAGAGAAAAAAAATTCTGCATATACTTATATATGTGTATCTGTTGTGTATGGCTTTACATATAAGTTTATTTTCCCATCAGAACTTTGGAAGGATTTTTGTTCATCATCCTACTTACACTGCTATTTTTGAGAAATTTGATACCAATTTGATTCCCAATTTCTTATTTTTTTTCTTCTCTGGGAGCATTTTGAATCATTTACTCAGCTCTTGAGTTCAAAAATTTCATAATGGTTCCGTTTGACCTGATTTATTTTTCTTTCTTATGTTACTATGTGCTCTATAAGTTCTTTTCCATTAAAATTGGGGGTATTCATCCTGGTACCTTTATTGAAATTGATGTTCTTTGAAAAATTCCTCTCAGTTTTCTCTGAAATATTCTTGAGAAAATGTATTTTCACCTCCGCAAACATTAAGTTTTCAAGTTTAATGAATTCTCTAGAGTTTATTGTTGCCTCTGCTTATCTTTCTCAAACAAGTGTTTCCAGAAGAGTAACAATCTGAAGATAGACATAAAGGAAGTCTCCCATCCCATAGGAAACTACATCAAATCCCGTTTAACTTGGATGAGATGTCAAAATATAATGATAAGTGATAGTCATAATGATAGTTAGAAGATTTAATGTGTTAAAAATGAAGACAGATATTCACTGGAATGGTTTAGAAGTGTCTGAAATGCCAGCCTGATTCAATGGCTGAATCCTTGCCTTGCACTTGGTGAGATCCCATATGGGCATCAATTCTTGTCCCAGCTGCTCCACTTCCCATTCAGCTCCCTGCTTGTGCCCTGGGAAAACAGTCAAGGACAGCCCAAAGCCTTGGGTCCCTGCACCTATGTGGGAGGTCTAGAAGAAGCTCCTGGTTCCTGGCTTTGGGTTGGCTCAGTTCCAGATGTTTTGGCTGTTCAGGGAGTTAACCAGAAGACTGAAGATTTTTTCTCTCTGTAAAGCAACCTTTCCAATAATGATAATTTTTTTTTTTTTGCTTTAAGAAATGTCTGAAATTGCTACTACAGAAAATGAGAACACAAAGAGTAGTGATGTGTAGGTCTAATTTACAGTTTCTCCTTTCAGATAGGTTGTCTCAGAACTTGTTGAACTGTCTTCTTTTGGTGTGATGGAAATAATTATCTCCTTGTCAAAAATGAGTGAAAATAAGTTAGTTAGTACTATTGCGGTTCTTAAGGGTCTTAGAGGCAAAAATGTTTTGTGGAATTTTTATTCCCAAGTGTTAATAAAACTGTATTTCTCCTTACTAAAAGAAATGAAGCCAGAATCCAAGCTCAACTTAAACATAAATGTGGCTTAGGAATGACACAGTAATACCACTTGGCATTTCTTAAGTCAGCCTGCTTTTTCTACACTGGATAAAAATAAAGAAAAGAAAGCATCTAAAACAGAACCGCCCTATTACAACCCAAATTTGCCCATGAAAGCAGAAATTTTCTGGCCTGAATCAACGCTTTTTTCCCCCTTTTCCATAACCTCCCACAGTATAATGACTTATGCATGGAATTCAGAGACTTTATATATATATATTTTGAGTACAAAGTGAGTGCCAACATGGAAAATGTGAACGTTGACCATTTTCAATGATGGCCACAGGCTTTTGAAGGAACCAAAGATTATCCAGAAAGATATTCGGTCAGGATGGGGCACCAAAATTCTGGTACCTTGCTTTACTTTGCCAGTCTTTTTACAGGATGAGAATATTTACCCTTTGGGTCTATGCTTAGTAAGAATTTTTTGGTGTGAGGTCAAAGTCCTTTCAGTAGACTGAAGTGACCCAAAACTAGCAGTGCAGTTAATCTTGTTTATGGCTGAAGTGAATACGCCAGGCCACATTATGTGCTGATAGTTCTTCTGTGGAGTAAAAAAGTAAAATGGTCTACTCTTGAATGATGTTTTCTTCCGTTTAATGTCCAATAATTTGGTTTTATTGTGGGACAACCTTTAGATGATTCAGTTTCATAAACTGAATTTGCATTGGTGTAATTTGTTTCTTTTAACTAAGGGTTTGAATAATTAAAGGCAAAAACATACCTTGAATACATTTCTATTCTGAACTTATCGTAGGCATGACTTTCCTGTTAAATTTTTATAGCTGAATTCTAGCAGAAATCTACAAACTGAACTCCTTAAATACCAAAGAGAGGGAGACTCAAATTTCAGAAAAGTTCCATTTGTCTTATCAAGCTCACATAGTCTTTGTGGTTCCCTAGAATTCCTGTGTGAGAGGTTTAAAAGTTACACATACTGAAGATACATAGAGGCAAAAAATGAAGGAAGAATCTCATCAGTCCATGAGACTAAAAAGTCTTTTAGTTCTCTAAGCCTGAGTCTTAAAATATGAGGCTATTCGAATCTAAGCTCACTTTCTAGATGCATCATGTTAGGTAAGCCATATAACTCCTCCAACTTCAACAACACCAGTTTGCTAGCTAGTGAGAGTAGCAGAGTTCACAATTAGATGTATTCCTCCTAAAGCTCTGTAAATGATGTGTGTGCTGCTTTCCTCTCCATGAATTTTGTGTTAAAATGAAATAAACGGACTTACTTCTAGTTTCTTGCTCTCTAGGGTAAATTCATCCTGATCATTTGGGATTGACATTAATTCTTTCATGTGCTCTTATGTTGCATATGCTATCACTATGGCTGAAGTTATGCAAGAGCAGCTCCCTGGTGGCCTTTGTCATAATTCAAACCAAGCAGCCCATACATTCCTTTAAACTTGTGTTCCCAAAAAGCATATCAGGAAAACACAAGCTACAGCAACAAGCTTCTTCCAATGATTTCAATTAAGTCTAAATATCTTCTTAATGAGGCTCTGAAAGTTGAGATATGATATCACTGCTTATGAAGAGGTCAGTACAACTGCCTTTAAAAGTGCTGTTGATAATTTTTGATCAGAATTATTAAGTGAGCAATTTTCTTCTGATACAATACTGCTCCTTAAAGAAATATCACTAATGAAGGTATTCAGCACAAGTTTTGTAACACCTTTTACCTCTTCTCTCACAGCATATATTAACTCTTTCTTAGAAGTGTTTCAACTTTAAAAATGCATTGATAACTATATTTTTACATTTTTAATAGGTGATGAAATGACAAAACTAACTCTCTGATCCATGGATTTGAAATAATCTTTCAACAAATTTAAACTTCTCTAACCCCAGATGGAATGTATCTCTCTGTCTGATGGTGAACTATGATGACATGTCTGTAGCTATCAGAAAGAGAAGCTGGGAAGAACATGTGACCCAATGGATGGGACAACCCCTTAATTCGGATGATTGCAACACAGCATGTCATCATGGACTAGTAGCTGACAGCTTGCAGGCAAGTATGGAAAAAGATGCAGCTCTAAATGCGGACCTTAAAGAAAAGTGTGTTTCACTGCCGGATTGCTGTCATGGTTCAGAGCTGAGAGATTTTCCTGGGAGGCCAATGGGTCAGGTTTCAAAGGAGGTGGGTGAAAATGACAACCATGAAGACGATGCGTTCCTCTCTCTGGAGGCCAGCACAGAAACACTAGTTCATGTTTCTGATGAGGACACCATTTCTGATCTATCCCTTGTGGACGACAGGATTTTAAATACCCAAGGATGTAAAACATCAGGCCAGCATAGCATTGAAGGAGCAGGCTCCTTGGTAAAGACACTGCCCATCATGGAAAGTGACCAAGATTTTTATACTTCCTGGAGAATGGCTGGCAAAGCTGAGTTAGCACTGGAGGAAGATAATGGAGAGAAAAATGTTGTTGAAACTCTAAGTAAAAGCCTGGAGCTTTGTGGTGATACAAACTTACATGAAGCACATGAGGCACCCAACATAAATACATTTGATTGTTTGAATGTGAAACATATCATGCCTGAGAAACAGCTTCTTAGTTCTGCTGTTATTGCTCAGCAGCGAAGAAAACCTGATCTCCCTAAAGATGAATATGAAAGACACACGTGCAGTGCAGACCATGATGAGTCCTTGGCTATTCCTTGCCCAGACAGAGAGCTACCATTATCAAAAGCAGATTGTAGAAGCTGCTTTCTGCAGCCTCCTTCTTGCTCCAGTGGAATGTCAACTGAGAATGTCCTGGGGAAGAGTGATTTCTCAGAATATCAAAACAGAAGACCTCCAGAGGTCAACACGGAAGATGGCATGCGGTGTTTACACTTGCAGGAGCCCCTGGCCACCCAAGAACCCACAGATAGCCAAGTCAGACTTCGCAAGAGAAAGGTAGGAAATATGCACAGATTATGTGTCTTTTGAAGCTTTTCAAGTAGCTATGTTTTCATCACATATTCTTTCATTAATATTAAGGTGATATATAAATGTTTCTTTTTCCCTGTGATATAGTTACATAATTCAGATTATACATTTGGTGAAACCCTCGGCATATGTAAAAATTAACACGCAAAAATTGCTTCATTGCACCAATAACATTTATAATGATTTTTAAACATTGTGTTGTGGAATTGTGTTGAAGGAATAGAGTTGGTATCACTTTTACTAACTGAAAAGAAATGCTACAAGATCACTCACTGACATAGCTGAAAATCTTCTAGAAAGTGATGTCTAAATCTTTTAAAAAAAAGTCATTTTGAATCTTCTTCCTTTCAAACAGTAAATTTTAACAAAACAAAATTGGTATAAAACACATGTTAAAATAATCCCCTTGTATGCGCAATATTACTCCCTCCCCATGGAAAGTGCTGATGACTTTTTAAATTATGTTTTGACACATTGATCATTCATAGATGTGTCTTGGTCTCCATTCTTTGCAACAACTTTTCTCTTTAACCCTTGACCCCAAAAGAGGCAATAATTGAAACTATTTTTCTACGTCAAGTCCCCTTTGAGAAAATATGGAGGTGCCATTATCCTCTAAGACAGAGAAGTGCTAACTGAAATGGTGTTACATGAAATATGGTTGGTTAGTAAATTCCTAGACAGAACCTGTGTTATCTTTATGAGTTCCCCTACATTCTCCCAGCATAGTGCTCTATAATCCAGAAAAGTCCAAGTGCAATTTCTTCTCCTACAAATCCCATATGGCCATTGGCATTGAAGAAGCCCTGAAGATTGGACATTATCATATAACAATTAAAACATGCTTCCTTGCACCTGCCCTGGTATTAGTACATAATTGTAATTCTTGTTAACACAAAACTAATGTTAATTTCTTCCATTGGGGCTAACTCTGTACAATAAAATAAGCCCTGGACTGTCGGTATAGGGAAGAAATCTGGTTTTTATAAATGGGATTTTACCAACAAAGTACATCAGCAATGTGTCATGAGTTACTCTAAGTGAAGGCTAAGACTTCACAGCAAAATTCAGTGTGCTTGGACTGTATGCCAACATTCCACACTAGTAGAAAACTCTCCCTTCCTTGCATGAATTGCATTAAAATGCTAATGCTCCAGAAAGCAGTTATGATAAAAATGTTCAGGTCATTTTTTGTCTTAAATTTCCATATATCCTATCAAGTCTGCTGGAGAGAATGCAATAATGACATAAGAAAGCATTAATTGACCTATATCATAGCTTCCCTAAAATAAGACAAATCTTTCCCAACTGCCAACCGTAACATTAAACATTCCCAAAACATATGCTCACCACTTGGGCATTTATATCAATATTAAGAATGTTGGAAAGAATTTACTGTTGAACATGTCACTGTAGCATGGTTACATTTTGAGAGCTATAATTATAGCTCATTTACAAGTTCTAACTTAAATAATCTATTTTAAGCATTTCATCATCCCAAAGTATTGTGACATGGTCTAGTAAAATATTTACTTTGACTGTATAACACATTTAGGATGTCTTCTAGTAAACAGATTAAATGCAAATTTTGAAGTCCAAATTTTATTCTGGAAAAGTATAGTTATGGAGAATCCTCTAGGACTGAGATGTGTAGGAAATTTTGTTTATTTTGTTGCTGAGTGAGTGCTAAAATACCTTTAAATTGGCCAGTAGGTATCAAAAAATTTTACTAAGAGAAATAATAGAGCATATTTGTAAAAAGATATAGAGAGAGATGTTTATCATTGTATCATATGTTACTGAGAAAAAAAGGTACAAGTTATTCCCAGTAAGCTATTTAATTATGAACCATTTATGGAAAGCTGTGCCCTTAAGATGGAATTGGATCCATGTACACTAGTTTGAAAGATATGAATGCTGCAGTTATACTTAAAAAAGAAGTGCAGGCAAATAAGCATAGCACAACCAAACCTCACCTGACAAAATGTGTATGTATGTATGGATGGATGGATGGAAATTAATAAAACTGGATTATTGAAATGCAAACCTCTATAAGATTGAAAAGAAACATGCAAAGTTCTGACCAAAAATTAAATTGCTAACTGAAATTACTTTGAATAGTGGATTTAGAAGGCTGAAAGATGAGGATTTTCACTCTTTACCCTATATACTTTCTAAAATGTGATGAAATTATAGATGAAAGAAGTACAATGAACAGAATACAAAAAGAAAATAATATTAGACATGTAAACACTTTGGATCATTTTTGCATTGCACTACTATTTTTATAATAATATTAATGCTTTTGTGAAATGATATAGAAATATATATATATAGAGAGAGAGAGAGAGAAAGTTTTTCAAAATATCAACAAAATTGATTTCAAATGTCTGTTCTGCTGGCTCAAAGCATATAAACCTTTGGAAGGACATATGAGTAACATTTTAATGTGTATACGACATTGAGTTCCAGAAACTGAGAGGAGTTTGTTCTATTGTTATAGTACTGACTGTAACATGAGAACTTGAAGGAGTGTGTTGGAGTATAAACTAACATCATCTTAATTTCACTTTAATCAGCTTTTTATTTGATGACCAGATTTGGTCATTGGATCAAATCCTTCAGTTAAATCACAAATGTGGGTTTCTTTCAATAGCATATAACCAAGATTCAAAGACTTGAAAGGGGAAAAAAAAATGAACATAACTTATAAGAATTATCATCCGAATGTTTTGAAATTGTTCTCTAGAAATCCTCCTGCTTCAGCTATAGATTACCATTCCTTACATCTTCTTGAATTCCAAAGATATTTGTGATCATCAAGGAAAGCCACACACATATTATTAGGCCATCTAAATGGATGACGATAGCATCTAAAATATATGTAAATGCTGACAATTATGTTAATAAATCCCCTAAATATGATAAAACACATACATTCACACACAAAATGTGAATTTGAAGTCATTGAAGTCAAATGAAAAAAATGAATGAATTACAAGCAAACAAGGGTGAATGAGCCATGGGGTTCTGTGATGTTGACCAGTGTTCATGGGGCCTGGCTGAGTCCCTAGGGTGAGGCAACTGGTTAAACGCAATTCTCAGAAACAGATTCCTGAGAAGTCTGTAGGAGGGAGACAGTCTAAGAAGTGGTCTGCTTCTCTAACCAAATGAGATGTGAAGATGGAAAATATGTAGGGAAAAGACTTGAGGTTAGACATTTTTTAAAAGAACTGGCGTATTTGTTCTCGATGGTGGTTTACTAATTAAAGAGAGTCTAAAATGCAGTCTTCTATAAAGACTATTTAAATATTTCCCATGTTTTGGAATAACCATAATAATCATATAAATGTATGAACATATTGTTACTTGCTTTCATGAGACAAGAAATCATCCACGAACTGAACTCCAGAAGATACTGCAAAAATAGTCTTAACTTTGAGAAGACAATTCTACGTTCCAACAAAGGCTATATATCCCAACAAGAAGTTTAGGTTCTTATTTAATTACCCTGTGTTAGTGAGACAAATGATTTGACTTTTGTAAAGAAAACAATTTAAATGGCATATTTCTCTCATGCTCACCTAAAATTGGGTTTCAGTAATAGTAGGCCAATACGTAGGCTCTCTCTCCAGAGTCCTGGTCCTTTTCCATGAGTGTCCTGCTGTCTTCAGTACTCAACCGTGTCTGGTCGTTGAGACAAGCAGACAGCAGAGATTCTTATGCTCTGGGGACAGGCAGGACCCAGAAGGTGCACAGTTCTTTTTTCTCTCAGATCTTCTAGGCTATCTCTTCATTGTGTTATCACGGCTAGAAATCAGTAAGCAGAGTAGTGGAGTCCGTGGCATCCTAAGTAAGCATATGCCTGCTAAATATTCTATGAAGCTACTTCATAAAATTACAGAAAAATGAAATGAAAAGCCAAATTTATCTTGGTACAAAGGAAATTAAATTTATGCTTATAAGTGGAGTCTTTAAAAATTTCATGAAAAAATACATGTTCTGAAAAAAACTACACATGGATTTAAAAATTTTGCATCAAAATAAATTTCTATTCTGTCCCCTTGAACTTTTTGAATTACCTTAGTGTTGTCAAGGAGAAACAAAACTTGTTTGAGGAATAGAACCCTTGCATAAATACATTTCAATATATCATGGCATAGCATGAAAATAATAACAAGGCTGCAAATCATTTCTGTGTTCTGGTATAAATTTTTGCTGATTTATTTTTATGCTTCAAAATACCTTTTTGTGTTATGAAACTGTTTGATAAATTGAAGTACTATTCATCAAAATAGTACAGTGTTTCGTATAGAGAAAGTCTGCAGGAGTATAGCACTAAGGTGCACAACTATTCTTTAAATCTCTGGAACATGCAATACATTACCTAGTTATGATCAATGAAAATTAAATATTTTCTCCTTAACCTGTCTTCAAAATATGCATATGTTTGTTTTTAAAAGTACACTTTCAATCTATGTGGCCTTCTGTTTTATTGTTATTACCTCAGTTATATGAGAGCCTTGTAGCAATGCATGGCATAAAGAAGATAATTATGCAGAAAAATGAAATGGATCACAGTAAAATTCTGGTGGGAAGAATGCAAAAGGGAAGGGAATTCTCCTTAAAACATAAAATCAAAAAACTTGTCAAGCCAAGGCTTGTAGCTAATGTGTCAAGGTAGGTCGGGTGAAACCAAGGACCAGGATAGAAAGTAGAGAGGACAAATAGGCCCCATGTCAGCTGACAAAGTGGGATCCAGCATTGTTGCATACCTGGTTAAACAGCAGTCTATGATGCTGGCATCCCATATTGGTGCTGTTTTAAGTCCTGGCTACTCCATTTCCAACCCTGCTCCCTGCCAATGCACCTGGGAATGAAGCAGAAGATGGCCCAAATACTTGGGCCATTTGGGAGACCTAGAAGAAATCCCTGGCTCCTGATTTCAGACCAGCCCAACTCTGGCT